ACAGATGTCTGTCATTTCAATTGAATATTGATGTTGCCTCTGCCCATATGCGCACAAGTTCTACTGGCTCATCATTTTTAAGAGTGTTGTAATGACAAATGATATAGTTTTGTACGTGATACAATAACAATTTTTTTTTTTTTGTTTTAAGTGTACGAATTTATAATTTTATGATTTTACGATGCGTTATGCCAAGTTGTGTGTCCCCTATATATAACAAAAAGAAATATCCCCTTCAGAAGTGCGACTATTGCGTGACAGTAATCCAGTTGACGAGTGGTGGACATAGTCGCATGTCAAAATAATAAATGTATAAATGAATAAAATAGCAATAAAATTGCCCAAGTCTAAACACGCTCAATATTAATGAAAAAAACTTCAAGTTCCGTATTGAATTTGCATTTGCAAGGAACTTTTTTTCTGATCGCAGGTGTCGAAAACATCACAAATTGACAGCTGCCATTCTCGCGAGTTTCGGCTTTTGCATTCTAATCGCGTGTAGTTTTTTTTTTTTTTTTTGCCTCCAAATAGGCTGTGGTTTATTTCACTGAGTTTATTCCACTTGGCAATACTTACAATTGCGCAGAGGGTGTGGGCTTAAGTGGAGCAAAGTAAAGCAAGGCTAATGTTTTGAAATAATTATGTATGTATTTATAGGCAAGCGCGTGTACTGTTGTGCCGGGAATATTAATTCAAAATCTGTTTCACAACATAAAATTTAGCTGGTGATACCATTTATGTAAGCAAAATGTTTGTCTGTTATGTTAATTATGGTTACTTAAACATATTATGCGCAAATTGTCTTTGATATGTCAACAAAAAGCATGTTGGAACATAAAATGGCTTTAAAGGCGAAGAAAAAAATAATTATTTAATTCGCCTAGTAGACTTAGCGCCATTCAAATGGTCGCTTTAGAATTTTAATGCTCAGACTTGTAGCTTTTATGGCACCCATACCAAGTAAAGGGCTTTAAAATAAAACTCGCGTAGAACTAAGGAAGGCAAAGGAAATAAAAAATGAAGCTCTCTGAAAAGTCAAACAGTCAAAAGAAGTAAGGACCAGATCCTCTGGCGGTAGAATATTTTGTTATTTGACTATTTATATCTCCGAAAGCAAATAAAAAATCCGATGTTATAAGGTTATGCGGTCTTACCAACTAATTTGTCAAAAAAATATAGTATAAAATGGTCCAATTCTTGCAAAAAAATCTTTATTTGTAAACCAGTGCTACTGGTGATCAGGTTGGTTCTTCTTACAATGCTCCAGCGAGTGTTGAATATCATGTGGTGAACACATAGAAAGCGACAGGACATGACTGCAATTGGCGTGAAACCTGCTACATAAATATTTGTAAGACGACAGCGACATATCAAACACAAACCCTAGTTTGGGCGCGCCAGTAAAAAATACCTCCCATAAGAAGTATTAAAAGCAGATAAACGTACAGGCTGCTTAAAAAACATCGTTATAATAATCGATCTAGAAAAGTACAATATCCAGGCAGTGGAGTTCGGGGCATATAGATAATTCTCCAAAGAAAAACGTCCGAAAGGAGAGTATCGCTGTTTATAAAAAATGTAAGTTGCAAAGGAAGTGCTGCCAGTTGTTTCGAACAACTGGAATAGTTTGTTTGATTCACTTCTCCCCAACGCTCAGTACTGGAAACACTTTGTATGTACGAGTTGCTCAGAAAACATAATTATGATCATCAAGGTAGCAAAATAACTAGCATTGTGCAGTATCGATAACAAAAGTACCCGATTATAAAATATTCGATAGAGCGAGATCTCTAAGAAATGTTAACATAGAATACCCTGTAATATCCAATGAAGATCACAAGTAAATATTGAATACTAAAACCATATCAAACAGATACTATATAAATCTTATTCGAATTACAACGCGAATTAAAGTAGAAGCGACGATTGATGAATGGCCACAAGTATTCTGAAACTCAGTCGTTCCTTATCCTTATTCCTTATATATGTATATGTGCCTTATGTATCAATTTCTCAAATGTACCACCCTACTTCCGAACATTGTTTTCTTTAATTTAAAATCTTCAAAATCCTTTAATTTGGATAACACCTATCATATAATATACAAATCACAATGTTAACTACAAACATTTTATATTTCTACTTAATTCCTCAATTGTCACGTTTCCTGTTTGAGTTTATATACCTTTCGTTGTTGAAGCTACAGTAAATATTTACATATTATTTAGTATTCGAAAATTGCGCTGTCCTTGCCATATGTTTATTTTAATATATCATACACTTTTATTTGCCGATTCTTGTTTACGTGCTTTGGTAGTCAAGTCAACATTTGTTTGAATGAAGTGAATTTATATGAGTTGTAGTAGGTCAATGTGCGAATTTATTTGCAATAAATAAATATCTTTACAATTTTTAATGCATGCAATTTGTAAAAAATACGAAACAAGTGATAAATAGCTGAAGAAAACAAATGTGGGCAGTTTGAGGGGTTTGCAAGTTTTCATTAAATGTTATACCTTTTTGTCTATAGTAATCCTGAAATTGTCATTGAGAATAGAGGTTCGTCAAAAACGTCTGTTGAAATTGGAAATTATTTTTCACCAATTTTGTTTGAGATGAACAACCAGAAGTAATATGGGGCTAAGTCAGACGAATATGGTCGTTGCGCACATATTGGTTGAAAATTGTGTAAAAACCCAGAGTTGTCGGCCAGCCTATTTTTACGAATACCTTTTACGTGCAAACGACGCATAACACTTAATTAGTATTCCTTGTTGACAATTTGGTCCGTCGAAAGATATTCGCAGTGCTCCACGTCTCGATAATCGAAGAAAACTGTCCACATATCATTGATTTTTGACCTGCTTTGCGTGGTTTTTTAGGCTTCGGCTCACCTTTGCCATTGATAATGTGTTTTCGGATCGTCAGCATAGATCCATGATTCGTCGCCAGTAATAATATATTTCATGACATTCTGATAATCGAAAAGTTTCGTAGCGTAGAATTTAATAAATTGTGCTTTTACTTTCTTAGGTCCAAATAATGTTCAAAATGGTTTTCACCGATCCTTTCGCTATTCCAGCGATGCCATTAAAACCTTTGATTGTTAATAGTAGATTGTCCAACGCCGATTCCTTTATTTTATCGACGAGTTGATCATCGGTTTGATGGCTGTCCTGATCATAGTTCCTCGTCAACGCGTTGTCGACCTCTTTGAATAATTTGTGCCAATCAAAAGCACTTGCTCGCGACGAACAATTGTTACCGCAGAACTTTTCCAACATTCTGAACGTTTCGGCACAAGAAATTTGATTATACACACAAAATTCGATGGAATTTCTTTGTGGAATAATTTCACTCATCGTAAAAATTGCCGAATGCTCGTTATGTACTTCAGAACGACAAGCGTATACGAAACGCAAATGATTATTTTGACGTGGACTATTTTCAGACCATAGTAATAGGTGTAATTTGAGTCAAAAAATTTGGTGTTCATACTGGCTCAATCAAGGCGAATAATTAATGTTTAACAACTGAGAACCTTAAAAGTTGTTCATAATCGTAAACAAATAAATTGAAGCAATTAAAGTGTGAACTAAATCATCCTGTTTAGAGCTCAAATGCACTTAGCTTAAGCAATAATCATGTGACGGAAACCTAAAAAAGGTTTTTAGTTTATGAAAAGTTTAGTTTAAATAAAATCAAAATAATTTTACTTCAGATCACAGTTAATCTAAAACCTAGTAACAAATGAGATCAATATGCTACCAATTAAATACTAATTGAGTTATTACTTAAAGCTTTGTTGTGTGCAAAGACAATTAAGGTTTAAATTGCTGAAAATTTCTTCATTATGTATATATAAAAAAAAAAAAACAAAAAAAAAAAAAAGAAGATAGGGGTCTTCTTTGATCTTAGAAACTTTTTTAATTTGCTATTCTTATACTATAAGTAAATTTTGATGTGTTCTAAGAATAACTTAATACCTAATTCTTATATTAAATTATTATCTTATTTATTACCTGTCTTTCTTTCTCAATAGAGAAGTTTGTGAAGCATGTTTTAAAAGGGGGAAAATCATTACTCCGTAAGCCTCTTTTGTACACTTAAGCACTTTTCTTCATTTAATAAAAAAATTATAATATTAGGTTGTTAAAAAAGTCTTGCGGTATTTTTATTGAATTTTCAATTGTTCATAAAATTTTTTTTTATGACTCATGCCCAGCTCTTGACCGATGCCTCGACTGCTACTATGCCGGTCTCTTTCGACCAATTCAGCGATTTTATCGCAATTTTCGACGCCAGGACTTCGGGATCGTGGCACATCTTCGACCACCTCTACACCAGAACGAAAACGTTTAGACCATCGTTGTGCGGTGGAAATGGAAACTGTATCGGGTCCATAAACCGCACAAATTTTATTGGCGGCTTGAGATGCATTTTTGCCTTAATCGTAGTAGTACTGTAGAATATGCCGTATTTTCTCTTTATTGTGCTCCATGTTTGCGACGCTATAACTCACGAACGACTTAAAAGAAGCGACAATCAATCAAACACGTGTAAGCGCGTGAAATTAGCTTTCCGCTCTCCCCGCCAACTAGCGAAAATACCGCAAGACTTTTAATTGTTTATGAATTCGTTGGACAAGTTCTCGCGAAAGGAAGATTATTTCTATATTATAAAGCATTTTGTAAAATTTCAAGAAAACTTAGTATATTAGGAAATTACAAGAATATATACATTTGTATGTGAACGAGTATGCAATATTTTAACACAATTTATCTTATATATAAATGGGTTGGAATTGCATATCGCCTCGGACTTCACATCATATTACTAAATACTCATATATAAATGTATATTTCTTTAAAGGGAATTACACATTTTTACTTAAATAATCCCCTTATTATCGCACCGGATGTTTCTGCGTATTTTGTTTGAAATAAATATTTATTTGCATAGCCGTACTTACAATTTCACTTTCTATTTTTATATTGCAGAAAAATGAATTTTATTGCTATGTGATATTCATGATGAACAAAAAGACGTCGATGCAGTTGCGACAGGAGCAACGCCCGTGGTTGCAGGTAAATTATGCTCTACTTAAAATATATTTGAAACATAATTGGGAGACTAAAATGGGAGTCTTTAATAATTTTATAATAAAAGCTAAAAAAGTTTAATGATTTTGGTGGAGATTCATGTCTTCTCCATACTAGTTTTGGATATTATATAATTTAGCTTAGGTTTGTAACACGACCTAAGATACATTGTACTCTTTGTATACTATACACCCCACTGTACACTCAAACATAAAAAATCGGTAGAAGAATCGATCGCCTGGTTCGATATTTCCTCTCCTTTCATTAAGCAGTTACATGAGTTTCCCCGGGTAAAAAAAGACTTTTTTTAACAAATTTTTTCACATATAAAAAATAAAATTTTTTATTAAATAATACGTGTTTTAGTAAAAACCTTAACTTAGAACTTGGACGAAGGAAACAAATTTAGAATTGGTTGTGTGGCAGACATTTTTACTAAGAAATTAAAAAAGTGAGAATTTCGTGAAATCTTTTTTCAAATAGATCGAAAAAAAGTTCGAAGAATAAGAGAGTAAAATAAAGATTTAAAATTTTTGACGAACTCTAAAAACTCTCCTTGAAGTTTTCGTTTTGTTAACCCTCTAACAGGCAAAACTAAAATCGTGGACAGAGAAGATGGGAATTTTTTCTAGGGTAAATAGGTAAAATATAACCCATAAACCTCAAAGATATCATCATATGATTTGTTTTCATTTTTTTGTGCTCGCAGGTGAGATTAATCTGAAGCCCGCCTCAGAGCAGCCTTGCCGGCGTAGATCAAAATAAAAAATTTCAATTAAAATTTCATTTTATTTCGAAAGGAAAGAAAATAAGGAAAACAAAAGAAGAATTTCAATAACTAGGGAAATTCGAATAACAAAGTTTATTAGTTTTTGTAATGATAGTCAAAAAAACAGTTTTTCGTAGTCGAGCAGCATAAATTAGTTTACATTTGGAACAAAAACACTGCGTTTCTGAACTTAGGCACAATTTACATTATCTTTTCCACCATCTTTAGGAAGACAAATGGGAAAGTGATCATACTGGTCAAAGCGGGCATCCGCGACTGGATGTTCTGCTCTTTTCCCTACATTAAATTTCTTTCCTGCGGGTGTTGACGGTGTAAAACTTGGCCGACCAGCAGGACGATTGAGTTTGTAAGCGACAAGACCAGCAGCAATTTCTTCACGGAACTCGGGTAACTTTAACCGCTTGTCGTCTTGTGCAGATATATTGTTGTTGCAATTTTCTAAATGCAGACATCGATACAAAATATATGAATTTGTCGCAGCCATAACTACGAAATGGGAAAAAAGGTGTGTTATCGGATTTCGAGTTTTTGCGTGGATATAATAACGACCCATAAGTCCATCCATTAAGTCTACTCCCCCATATGGCTATTATATTCCCGTATAATTTGGGGGCAATTTATTTCTATATGCTGCTTTTGTTTTCTATCGTAGTGTGCAACTTTGGCCGATTGCTCGTTTTCATTTTCTCTTTTAAATTGCTGAATACCAACATAAGTTGATACCAATCGCACTGTCTTTCCACAAAACCGTGTTAATATCGACACCATATGCAGCCCCAACGTGCTCAATTGAGTATCCTCTTTCTTCGTTCTTTACATCCTTATCCAAAGAAGCTTGCATTTTGGTATTCGGTTCGCTCGTATCGTGCCCAAGCTGTAGATGAACCTTGCGCGTAAATATATCAACAAAGGTAATGATGTATAGAAATTGTCGAAGTAGAGAATGTGATGAGCAAAATCAGGTATTGTTTGTGATAGTCGTACAACTACATTTTCAGTACTTCCAAGATCCGGCTGACCTGGTAAAATGATGTTATCGCCAGCGCCGTTATAGACTTCGATGCGATACGCAAATCCAGTGGAGTCACACAAGACGAACAATTTTATTCCCCACTTGTGTGGCTTATTTGGCATATATTGCCAAAGATGATGTTTTAATTGTGTGCTACACATTTAATCATCGACGCAAAGACGAGCAGGCTTTGGAACAGAATCGAACCGTTTGTTGAGTTCATCTGACAACTTTCGGATACGAAACAAGGGATCATATCCTGGTTTACATTTTTTAATCCTCTCGCTTTCATCTCTAAAAGACAAATATCTTTTTATCGCCAAAAACTGTTTTACAGTCATTGATTCTTGAGTTGGAGTGAAAGCATTTTTACCCCAATAGCTCTCCAAATTCGGATAACGGTAAACGGACATATAAATGAGTACGCCAATGTATTTAAAAATTCCTTCAGCGTCGATCTTAAACTGGCTGTTGACGTTTTCATAATAAGCTGCTCGATTTGTTTCTTCCACAATCAAACATTTCCATCGGTGTGTCAAGCTTTCTGATTCGCGGTGGTAAGCATGAGTTGCCGGGGAAGGCCACTTCATTCACATGCAAACGCATATTTTTGTTTCGCCAAATAACATTTAAAAAGCATTTGCACTTTTCGAAATATTTTCAATACCTATAAAACATATGTTATCGACTGAGGCAATCAAGTGCAAACTTTGAATGAAAAACATATACCTGAACCTGTAAAACGACCCGAAAGAGGGAACAACTAAGGGACCAGTAGTTTCCAAGAGTGGTAATGGAGATCGCGGTCTTTTTTTTTTTTTTGTTTTGAAATGTACTGCTGCCAATGACCTTGCTGCGGTAGAAGAAGATGCTTCAGGTATTTCAGTAAGCGTTGATGATCATCAATTGAACTTATATTCAAGGAATTATCGGTGATTTGTATAAATGAATCAGTTGCTTCATTCAATCAAAGAAATATCTAAGGAAAATTTCGCGTAAACAGGCAAGGCCGCCCTCAGGCATAAATAAATTAACTAACTTAATTAAAAAAAAATTCTTCAGGACGAATTTTTCGATAAAACACTTTTTATTTTAATTTTGTAAATTTTAAAATCGGAGCTGCAATTAATTGACCTATAACACTGAATTTCTGCATTCAACTGACGATAACAACAAAATAAAACGTCATAATACATTTGTTGATTATGAGTTGATGTATTATCTAACGGTTCTTATAACAGTTGCAGACAACAAAAAATTTTCTTAGGAATTTGGGACATTTTATTAAAGGCCGCCTCAGGGCGGTCTTGCTTGTTAGAGGGTTAAGCTATCAATGAAGGAGATGCATGTATTACAAAGTGTATGGGAAGATATGTATTAAGGGCCGTTCCTTAATTACTTATACTTATACTTATACTTATACTTATACTTATACTTATACTTATACTTATACTTATACTTATACTTATACTTATACTTATACTTATACTCATATTTGTTACTAATTTTCTTTCTTTGCGAAAAGAGGTAATATCTATGTATCATTGCAGAATGTGCAGAATGAGATAAGCGACAAATTGGGCATCGACAGCTTTCTCGTACAGCCCATACAAAGACTGACCAGATATCCATTGTTATTGCAGCAGTTCATATCTGTAAGTATAGTATTTGGGAGCCCTCGCTTAAAAAATTAAAATAATATCCTTAATTTCTTCATTCCGCCAGGAATTCTACAAAAGTGGCATCAGCTGTAAACCAGTGCTGGCATCTGTGTGTAAACTGGAGACACGCATGCGCCGTCTACTCGAGGTAGTCAATCAAGCGGAGGACGTGTCAGCGATAGACGAGATAGCCGAGGTGAGTTTAAACTATAAATTTGAGCTCAAATAAAATAAATACTAATTAAACCTCGGTGCATTCTTACAGCTCAATTTGGCATCGCAGGGCTATTTTCGACGCGCCACCGAGTTCGACGCTTATCATCATCGTTCGCGCAAGAAGTATGCTGCTAAGGTGTTCCTATTCGATCGCTGCCTCATCTGTACCGAAGTGCGGAAGCGTCGGCTCGCCTATCGCCACCACTACGAATGGTCGACGCTGGAGTTGCAGTTGAATGGCAGCAAGAGTGTAACGGTATTACAGCGCGGACGCACTGCAGCGGCGAAAGACCACGCCAAGGAGGAGTATGAATTCACGGCGTCGGAAGCGTGCGCAATGACACAGTGGCTGCGTTGCGCGCGGAAAATCCTCGAAATCGATCGCGTCGAGTCGGCGATGCGGGGGAAATTCGTCCTGCCAATGGATTTGGTGCTCAGCGTTGGCGCAGCCATTTGGCTGATATGGAATTATTTGTAATAGTTTCAATAGTAGTTTGATAGAAATCCAAACGGGCGGGTCCACAACTCAAATAAGCGGGTTAACTTATGATTTTCATTTTATTAAAATAAGTTTTATCATAAAAAGCTATAGTTTAAGTCTGTTTTTGAAACAAAAATTGCCACGAAGATTAGATTGCATAAGAGTTTTGTTAAACAAAATATAATATACATATAGTTTTGTAAATTGAAAATTTTTAATTTTTTAGTATATTTAAGAGTTAATGAGCATTTTTCGCAGGGTATAATCTGAAAATCAAATAAGAGGGACAGTTTTGGTTAGCAGATTATGGACTACATAAGTAATTTCAAAATTCATTATTCTTCAAAACCTATGTACATATATCGTTCCTTTTAAAGTAATCCCTCCTTGGCCCGAATAAATTTGTACCGACAGTTTTTCCGAACCTCGAAATAGTTGTTAAAGTCAATTTCCGAAATGGCTTTCATTGTGCGGAGAGATCCCCCTTTTATATCTTCAATTGACTCAAAACGGTTTCCCCGGAGCTTTCGTTTGAGTTTGCTGAATATCCATAAGTCACACGGAACTAAATCAATCGAGTACGGTGGCTGCGAGACGATATTGATTGAACACCTTTTTTATAGTTGCTTTCAAGGATTTTCTCAGAGTGTCATAAGAATGAGTTTTCGATGATTCGGGAGTTTCAGTACTAAAATAAATGGAGGCAATATAGGAAGAATAGAAATGAGTAAATTTATGTAATTTCAATTTCATGTTTGACGTGTAAACATGGTCATAAATGGCAGAGTCAAATGGTTGCCAAGATTATGCTATTTAACACCTCTAGATTAGTTTCTCTATGGGTATGTTAAATCAAAGATTTACGCTAATCAACCAGCAATGCTCGAGGAGCTCGAAAACAACACTCGGGGCACTATAGCCGAAAAAATAGATAGGAGATAGTTAAACAGAGCCATTGTGGCTATTTTGTTCAAATCATAAATGACATAAAATTATCTGTTCAGAAAAGAAAAACACAGGACCTGATTCTAGTACTACATTTTAAACCCTGAACTGGGTATATTGAGTTTGTGGCGAAGTTTGTAACACCCAGCAGGAAATGTCCAAAATCCTATAAAACAGATTCGTTTATATGTTAACATGACTAGCCGAGTCAATTTAACCATGTTCGTCCGTTAGTATGTATATATGCGAACTAGTTTCTCAGTTTTTGATCGATCTAAATTTTTGCACTCGTCCTTTTCTCACCAACAGGCTGCTTATTTGTCCAACCCCTATAGCATAGCTCATATTGAAAGTTTTTCCATTTGACGCGATATCTTCACGAAATATGGCAGAGATTATTATTTGAAGCAATAGAGCAACCTAGGAAACTTCTATGATCGGATTACTATAGTATATAGCTGCCAACTGAAATATCAGTACAAAGTACTTGCATGGAAAAATTTTTCATTTCTCCACGTATCATAAAGAAATTTGGCCAATATTATTATTATCCGCTTCAAAGAATTTATTCAGATCGTGTCACTATAGCATATAGTTTCTTTACTCACTGGCGATCAAAGTAGTTGTAACAAACTTTTGTATTTGTGGAAGGCATTATGGCTTCGGTCCAATTCAAATTAAAATTGTGCTTTTTTTGTTTTCAAGAAGCCGAAATTCTTTGTATTTCTTTTTCGAGAATATATCAACGCCAGAAAAAAGATTTCTTCATTCACTTCACAGCTTGTTAGCCAGAAATTAAAATATTTTGATTATGTTTATTTTCTGTAGTTTCTTCTTTTTCGCGAGAGCATTATTTATATGATAATTTTTTTATATTTATAAATGGTTTTGAGTTATTTCAACTCTGTATGGGCGTGCGTGTTTGTGTAGCATGCATTTGTCAGTCGGGCGCTTTGGGGACATGCATCATTATGCGCGACTGGACGCCAACCCAACCCAACTTTGCAGACAATATGCGCCAGCAGCAATTACATATGCACAAAAACTGAAACAGCAACAACAACTCTAAGTAAGCAAAATATTGAAAGTACTGCAGCTTGTGCGCTGAGCCGTAAAATAACTGCGTTGCCAACAGCCAAAACAGTGATTTCTTCGAGCATGCAACTTGCAACCTAATGTGAAACTTCCCACTGCGGTCATCAGCGCATAGCACCTCCCCTCCCCATCCCTCACCAGCGCTGATTACTTGCCGGCTTGGTTTTGTTTTATTTTGTCTTTATATTGCTTGCCGCCAGCCTTGACAAATATTTATGATAAATTGCCTTTTTCGCTGCTCATTCGTGCGCACTCCCCGTTAGCCTCCTGCGAGACGGCCGCCCGACTGCTGTTTGGACTCATTTGCTTGCCTCGCCTGGCAGGGGTTCTTTCATATACGAGAGTATGTGGGGTGCGTGTGACCAGCGCCTAAAATGCAGAAGCCACACAATTTATTGTTTTTTGTTTTGATTTTATGTATTTTTCTTGCTTCCCCTTCTCCCTTTTGCTCCGGCTGCAGTGGCTTTGTGCGCTGCTTTGTTTATTTTGTTGCCGTTCATCAGTCGCCTGTAGATTTTGTATGCAGAGGATCTTAGGACCATTTGTGTTAGCATCCTTATTTAAGGATATATGCATGTGTGTGTATACCTTTTGTCATATGAACATATGCAAAATACGCAAATTTTGTGCATAAAATTTTCTTTGCGAATAGTCTAAGAGCAAAGTAAACAGCCTTGGAGAGGACAGTGGGTATGTTAAATGAAATTATTTTATAAATTCTTTATATATTATTCCATATATGCCTTCTTGGTTTCAACAACCAAGGTAGAGATCGACTCTACCTACACTCTTCCTCTCTTCTGTGAAAGGGAAGCAAAATTGGTTACCGAATTTAAGTTCAACTCTATAGAATTATTAAAATTTGTGATGTTGGTTATCAAACAAAACTTACCAAGTATCTCAGAATGCCCTTTACTACAGCTACTTACAGTTAGCACTTCGACAGTCTAAGAGTATTCATCTATCTATCTGCGAACAAAAATTTTGTTTTTGACACACTGTCCACACAAGAAATTGCGCTGTGCAATAAAGACATGTTTGCAACTGTCTTTACTGTGATGGACCGCCTCTAATCACAAAATTTGTTTGACAAAGCACGTCTCGGACCGGTAGTGCTGTGCATTGCGCTGATTTTCCGGTCAGTGCTTTGCCAAAAAAATTATATGTACATAATATAATATGAATAAAACCAAATCTGTATAGTAAACTGAAATTGCTGCAAAAAAGAGAGCAGCATATTTTCCGGAATTTAAATTAGAATGGGAAAGGGGAACAACGACAGAAGTAATCCCTGGAATAATATAGAAACTTAACTAGCTGCGACCACGAAGAAAAGAAGGAAAGCTTTAGATAATTTTTTATAAGGTATTAACTTTATTGAGGTTTATTTCGCAGAACAGTATATACATATACACAAATTGCGATACAGTCGTAGAGAACGCGCTCGCATTATCATTAGTCTCAAATAATAATTATATACATATATTGTAGAGACTTTATTTCTAGAAATCTCACCCATTGCAGATACGAAGGTAAAATGAATCTAAAGCGATAATAATCGTTCATATCCTTCTGAATAACCTTAAGCTCACATTTAATTCCTTCTTGGCGGTCCTAATATTAATCACAAGTTAAACTTAAATTTTGAGAACCCGTCGCGAAAAAACTTTAGTCAATACTTTTTTTTTTTCAAAGCCCTTAAATATTTCAAGATATCTAATTGATCTACAATTAAGTAAATTATTTTCAACAACTACTTAAGTTTTCAGACTGGTGAAGTCTTTAACGTTTTTTTTTTCACACTTACACCGGAAGAATCCGAGCTGTGTCTTATACTAGGTTTTGATCGGTTTTGCGCCACGTTTATTCTGGTGAATAACGCAGATCGTCAAATACTTCATACATTGGGCTTCGAAGACGCTGTTGCTCTTGTGAAACAGGAAATCCAAGAATACCCGAATGAGTCCACCCGCCATTACGCACAACAATTGGATATTGCATAGTGTCCGAATGAGATGAAGCACTCTTTCGACTGAATGGATATTTTAATAAATAAACTTGTCGCATTTGGAGTGATGATAATTCATTGACGCCGTCCTCGGTAAGTCACTCTTTGGCATGTTATATGGGCAGGGCGAGTCATGTCAATATTGCTTCAAAAATGAAGCGGGTCATAATATTACAGTGAAAGGAGAACCTTTGTCGTGCCTGAATTAGAGGATGTTAATGTGAATTACCTTTGGTTCCAACAACATTTCGCTACCCCGGCTGTATGGCATTGCCAACGATAAAAATCAAACTATCGAAGGAACCTTTTGGTGAGCGTATTATTTCGGATGGTAAGCCTGTGTCATGGCCCCCAAAAGTAAATCAAGTTTGGGAGCCCTTAGAAGTAAAAAAAAATATCAAAGGTTTTCATTATGTGCTAAGTTATTCAGAAAATGTTGGTATGATGAAAAAAGTTAATGTAAAAATATTACTCGCTCTCTCAGAGAGAAACTTCCTTAGAGCTTAAGATTTTGGCTTAGTTCTTTATTTTAAGCGTCTTATTTTTATATTTTCTCAAACTTTCTGTACTAATTTTTCAGCAAAAGCACTTTCGTATATAATTTTTTAAGTGAATATATCGCTATATTTCTAAACTTCCTCGTCCCTTTCAAAACCTTTTTGCATATATGCAAACAGCATGTAATTCTAACCTGTTTCCTCGTCAAAAGTGTCATAACTTATGTAAGAAAACAGATTATGTTGTATTTAAATGACGTAAATTGTATCTAATCTAAATGTAAACAATCAACACTCCGCAAACAACGGACCGGACAAACACACAGCGGACCAGAGAGAAATTTATTAACTCATTGCAGAAGTGTGCAAAATTTCATGCATAGCAATCAAGTCGCTTTGAGCAGAAGCAGAGTAACTGACGAGGCAAGGACGAGTGTTTTCTCAGCTTTGAC